GCTGCTGCTGCTGCGTCGAGATGATCCGAGGCTCCTCCACTTCGTGTACCACGGGGGCGAGTGGCCCTGGTGTCGTCCGGGCTTGGGGCAGACATTGTTCGTGTTGAACGTGGCAGAGCGAGCTGTCGCTGATGGAAGACTGGAATGCACTGGCGAAGGCCGCGAAGAGAATGTAGCCGAGGAGCGTCGCGTTCTGTGTCAGACCCGGGATCGCTGCTGAGGTGCCTGGGGCGCGAGGCTCTGTCCAGGACTTGTATATGGATGTGCCAGGGGCGCACGGATCGGACCTGGACTTGGATATGGAAGCGCCTGGGGCGCAAGGCTCGGTCCAGGACTTGGATATGGAAGTGCCAGGGGCGCACGGATCGGACCTGGACTTGGATATGGAAGCGCCTGGGGCGCAAGGCTCGGTCCAGGACTTGGATATGGAAGTGGCAGGGGCGGACCTGGTCTTGGAGCTCATGAAGCGCTTGAATGCGCGATGGAAAGAGGATGGCAGCCTAGCCCGCTAAGGCAGAGGGAAAGAAAACATCTTGGCCTTGAGCCAAATTGGCTACGTCATGACAACGATACTGCTGATGGTGATGATGATTGTGATGACGATGAAGATGCTGATGATGATGATGATGGTGATGGTGACAGAAATGTTGATGGTGATGGGAAGATGATGATAATGATGATGATTATGCTACTGATGATGATGACTATGGTGGTGATGATGGTGGTGATGAAGATGCGGAGGAAGATGATGATGGTGGTGATGATGCTGGTGATGATGATGATGATGAAGGTGGTGGTGGTCATGGTGATGATGATGGTGAGCATGGTGATGATGGTTATGATGCTGATGATGATGGTTGTGATGATGATGTTGGTGGTGATGATGATGATGAGAATGGTGACGATGCTGATGGTGAGAATGCTGGTGATGATGGTGGTGATGACGGTGGTGACGGTGATGATGGTGATTATTAGAAGGATAATGATGATGCTGTGATGATGGTGATGATGATGGTGGTGATGGTGGTGACGATGATGGTGATGCTGATGATGAAAATGATGGTGATGATGGTGATGAAGGTGATGCTGTGGATGAGGATCAGGATGATGATGATGATGATTGTGATGATGATGGTGTTAAAGATGATGATGGTAAAGGTGATGATGATGATGACGATGATGATGAGGACGACGATGGTGGTGATGATGGTGATGATGCTGATGGTGATGATGCTGAAGATACTGATGGCGATGATGATGATGACGATCGTGATGGTGATGATTGTGATGTGGATGATGATGATGATGATGATGGTGATGGCGATGGTGATGATGATAATGATGGTGATGATGATGACGATGATGGTGATGATGCTGATGATGATGATGGTGATGGCGATGGTGATGATGGTGATTGTGATGATGCTTATGTTGATGAGGATGGTGATGATGAGGATGATGATGATGGTGGTGATGATGATGGTGATGGTAATGGTGACCATGATGATGATGATGATGATGATGATGATGATGATGATGATGCTCATTATGAGCACGTTGATCGATTTGATACGTTGATCGATTTTTCGACTTCAATGTTCGGAAGTGCGTCCCGCACGATCTGAACAAGTAGGGCAAAAGCTTCCACCTCTGAGAAGGGGGCGAATATCTCTGCAAGTGTCTGGCGGAAGCAGCGACGGCAAAGTATGGCGGACACCGACGCCACAGGAGTTTGAACAGTAGGGCGGAGATTTCCACCCTACAGTGAACGCGCACAATAAGCATACACGATAAGGATGCAAGGGCCTTGGAAGGCCATGTCGACACCTTTCGAGCGGGGCGCGGCCAGCGAAAGTTGCCAAGGAGTGGCCGAAGTGGCAGGATGCAAATGTGGCCTTGGAAAATCGTTCATCCTTCCTATCTGTTTTGACTGTACTTGCGAAATCGCCGAAAATATACGGCGGACCGGAAGTCAGGGCTTTTGGGGGCGCCTCGGCGTGCGAGGCGGCAGCCCCTCCCCAGAGCCCTGCCCCGGGAGCCGAGTCTGGCCGTTTCAGACATGGCCTTCGCATGCATTCGACATCGCCCTTGGCTGCGACTTCAGCTTCGGCCAACATGACTTCAAGAAGGCATCGGTGAAGGTATCCACGAAGGCATCCACGGGGCCCCAGGGGGGAGGAGCCAGAGGCCTGCAAGAGGCCCTTGAGAGCCCCAATCCACCCAACGGTGACCCTTTCGAGCACGGCGCTGGGCGTCCTGAATGTACGCACGGCGCCAGCACGCTTCCACGACGGCGCGCCCCCCAGGCTGAGAGGCATCCAGGACTCCCACGGGGCTGGCGGTGCGGCGTGAGCCGATGACTCATCTCCGCATCCCAGACGCGCTGGTCGCGGTCCTCCTTCCAGAGGGCCAGCTCCTGGTGGGTGCGCAGGGCCTTCCTGGTCACCCCGCAGGCGCACTCCAGGCGCTGCTTGAACTTGTCCTGCGTGGGCCTCCAGAGGCACTCCAGCCTCTTGAAGAACTTCAGCGCCGCCGGCATCGACTTCACCACCGAGAGCACGTCGCTCTGCCAGACCCTGTAGGCGTCGCACGCCGTGACCGCGGCGATGACGGCGCCGTACCTGGCGGCGAGGCCCTCCGCCACCAGCTCCCCGGGCATGAGCGACATCACCGGGGCCCTCTCCCTGCCCATCACCAGCCTCGCGTGGCCGCCCGCGAGGACACCGAAGTGCGGGCCGCGGGGGCAGTCGTCGGGCACCGGGTACCTCCGAGGGAGCAGCAGCCCAGGCATCCGACGAAGCAGTTTTTGTTACTGTTCCGTGCCCGACCCCGGGCCTCCCGACCTCCCCCTCGAGGGCAGTTTTGCGTCGCCCCGGATCCGCTTCCAGAGGCCCTGGGTGGATGGCGGCGCAAAGGGGCCTGAGGCATCTTGAGAAACATGGTAATGGGTTGAAATGTCCTCAAAACTCTGCCTGGGAATCTCTTCCACACTTGGCTGGTTCCGGACACCCTCAACCACAACAACTTGCTACCACAATTTGCTTCCGCCCGCTTCTGCCAGCCTTGCGTCAGCTTCCGCCGGCGGAGGCGGCCTCGTTTTACTTCTGTCGCCTTGTGCCGATGCCAACCCCTTCGATCATCGAGTGCGAGGCCCTCTCTGGAGAATCCCACTGGTTTTTGGCGTCTGCAGCGCTCTCCTGAAATCTGCCAAGGCAGACGCTGGTGACGTTGCGGGGTTGGACGTCGCGAGCAGCCTGCGTTCAACATGCACCGATGTTGTGTTGGTAGGTCGCGGTCCTGCAGCGTGATGCACGCGATAAGAGCTGGATCGAACCGCGAAATCGGATCGGATCGGAAATGGACCAGATCGCCAACTAATCGTAACGAAACGAAGCGAAATCGAAAACGACCGCGCCCGGCTGCAGCCACCTCTGGCCGATGCCGGTGAATCGAACCGAACCGGATCTAATCGGAATCGCGGCCCCATCCTGCGAATCAAATCTAATCGAATCGGATCGCAGGTGGCCCTGACAATGCAATGACTTCCAGGGCCCCGAGCATTTTGACCGCTCTCCCGTTCTCGAGTTCATCGGCCTGAAGTCGGTCCGTCGCGGTGCCTCGCGCTCTGCGGCTGATGGGCACGAAGAAACGACAGTGCCATGGCTCTGGCATGTTGGCATGTGGACCATGAAGCAACAGCTTAAGCCCAACGGTTCCTAATTTCTCCTTTGGCGCCCTACTCACCACGTGTCAAAGAGCGCTTGGCTCAATGATCGCGAGGTGAGTCCTCACGCGCTTTATGCCTCTTGTCTGTTTACGGCCATTATGCGGTCACGGCAGGTTGCTTACATTGCCAAAATTACTCCAACGGTAGGACCTCACGCGATGTCCTCTTAGAGCGACGGGGAGGGTGATGAGGACGACGGCGACGAGGATGAGAAAGAGGAGGCGCAAAAAAATGAAAGGAGGACAAGGAGGCTAGAGAAAGATGAGTGACGAGGAAAGGGGAGGATGAGGAGAAAGATGAGGAGGAGGAGGAGAAGAACATGAGCATGAGGACAATGAGGAAGATGACGAGTACCGAAGCGTAATGAAGAGGAGTGGGGATGAATGCGGGGCGGACGGAGACGATGAACGAATCAAAATGATAATTGGGGGAAGGGGAAGAACCAGCAACAATAGCGGCAACAGTGGGACGATGAGCAACCAGGATGAGGGCGAACAGGAAGAACGAAGTGGAAATTGGAATGATGCGGGTGACGACGTTGATCTAGGAAGAGCGAGGAAGAGTACGTAATTATGCGGTGGGAGGACGAGGGCGAGGAGGGGGGGAAGGAGGAGCATTTGAGCCAGGAGGAAGAACACGAGAATGCAGGAGGGGGGCACAAGGAGTAGAGATGAGCGGGGAGGATGGGGAGTGGGAGGAAGAAGCAAGAGGGGGAGGAACTAGGACAATGGGGAGTGCGACGACCACGACGGCGTCAAGTGTGGTGGAGTAGGGAAAATGAGGAGGAGGCGGACGAGGACGATGATTATGATAATGATAATGATGATGATGATGATGATGATGATGATGATGATGATGATGATGATGATGATGATGATGATGATGATGACGAGGAGGAGGAGGAGGAGGAGGAGGAGGAGGAGGAGGAGGAGGAGGAGGAAGACGAGGTGGAAGAGCAGGAGGAGGTTCATGAGGTGCAGGAGTGAGGGGTGATGCGAGGATACTGATGGTGGTGGTGGCGGTGGCAACGATGATGGCTGGGATGACGGGGAGCGACGGCGGGGAGCGAGGAGGGGAGTGAGAGAGCGCGGGGCGATAATGAGAAGGGCCAGGAGAAATTGGAAGAGAGAGAGTGGTGGGGTGGTGAATTGAGAAAAGAGGAGGGAGGGGGGAGGGGAAGGAGGGCGGAGGGGGGGGAAGACGTGGAGGGCGTTCGCGCGCGGAGGGGCTGACGAGGGACCAACGGCGACGACGAAGACGAGGGACTAAAGGACTACTGAACAGAAGGACGGTAACGGAACCAGTCCCCTGCCAATAGCCCCTCGCTCGTGTCGCACTTCATCCTGCGTTGACCGACCCGCGCCCGTCGAACGCCCTCAGCGCCCACCTCTGGTCTCCATCGTCCTCCTCCTCCTCCTCCTCCTCCTCCCCATCCTCCCCACTCCTCCTGGCTTACTCCTCCGTTTCCTCATCCTTCCACCTTCTGGCTAACCCCGCCCTCAAAGTTCATCCTGGCCCTGCTCCTCCTCTCTCCCCCATGCTCCTCATGCTTCTCATTGTTCTCCTTCCCATTATCGTCAACACTCCCGCCCTCGTCCTCATCCGCATCACCATTATCATCGCCACCACCAGCGTCGTCATCACCCTCACCCCTCTGTTACTCCTCCTTCACCTCGTGCTCCCTCTCTTCCTCCCCCGTCTCCGCCTCCGCCTCCTCATCCTCCATCGCTTGAAACCACCGAAGGTATCGTCGTCCAACAATCCCCACCCCTCCTGCTTTCCCCTCCTCCCCCTCCTCCTTCCCACTCTTCTCTCCCGTCCTCCGTCCTCCCTGTCCTCATCCTGGCCCCTCCTCCCTCTGCTGTTCGCTCTTCCTCGCCCATTTACCCTCCCTCGTCCACGTCCTCATCACCTCCCTCCCATCCCTGCTAATCCGTTCCTAGCCGCTGCTCCTAACACACTCCTCGCTGTTCCCCGTTCGCCGTCGTGTTAAGCATCACTCCTATCTCCGTTTCATTGTACATCCTGTCTTCATCCAGGCAACTACTCCCGACCGCTGCTCCACCCCCACCCGTCGACTGTCCTACCCCCACATCGATTCGCTCTTCCGCGTCGCCGTCCTTCCATCACTCCTCTCTACTGGTCGCTACTTCTCACTAGCCCATCCTTTTCCTCCTGCCCCTGTTCATCGCCATCCTCACTGCCCCCTATCGCCCCTTCCCATCCGTCCTCATCCTCCCTCCTCTTCCTCCTGCCCCAAGAAGAAATCGTGCGGGCTCGTAGTGTTGCAATCATTTCGACGATATGGAGCAGCTGCCGTATGAGGTTGGCGGTAGTACGATGAAGAATACGTCAAGGTGCATCTCACGATTATTGTATTGAGTGCGGGTTCATGGTACGTTAAAGGGACTTGGTGCATCGGGAAACGGCTTTGACCCAGACCATGCGAGCATAAAGCTTGACCTTCTGGCTTGCACGTCGCATGTCGCCATGCCGAAGCAAAAGGTTATTCGGCTCCTGATCTGTATGAGCTCCGAGGCATCTGTGACTGACGGGCTGACTTGAGATGGATTGCACCGCCGTGCGGGCTGAAATGCTTAGTGTCCTTAACAGCGCTGCGCTGTCATCAAATGACTCATGTTATCGCTTATGTTCCTGCAAGCACGATCGACAACTTGGTTAATCGTCGCCCCTGACCAGGTATATATAATATATGAATATATATATATATATATGTGCACATGTGCGATTTGCCTAAACTGTGCGTAAGTTGCACACCACTTCCAGTTACCTGGTTTGACGCACCAAGCCGCTGTTCCCTCTGACGAAGGCGATCCCAGGGGAGCGCTGCAGACGCCAGAAACCAATCTGTAAGAGGCACCAAGGCGGAACCGCGCAGGCCCCCGACCACTTCTCATAATTATCGAAAGGTACGGCATCTTTACGCCGCTATCCAGCCCGCAGGCGCGAAACCGGTCCCCTGAGGCCGAAATGAGGCACCAACGCCGCGATTGTAACAACAAAAACATGTCGCCGGAGGTCTTGGAGCGGATCCTGCGGAAAGCGGGCGTGCATTCGAGGGCTTTCCTCCAGGACCACGCGTGCGTCCTGAGCTGTCTTCTGACAGGGTCCCAGGGCCCGCGGAGAGCCGCGGAGGCCCGAAGAACTGGGGGCCCGAGGAACTGGTCGCCGACGATATGATGTTTTCAGTCCGCGGCGTTTCTCCTTTACTTCGAGTAGGAGATCGACTACAGAATTGATTTACCCCGAAATGTATTCCCCATCGAATCTACGACGAGTACGTAGAACTTTCGTAAGTCTACGGAGGGTTCGAAATATTTTCCGCAGATTCGACGAGAAAGCTGATTCGGGGGCAAATAAATCTTGTAGTCGATCCCCTACTCGATTATCTCGGCCTCTGATACATGTTAGCCGTTAACGCGCCCCAGGGCCAGCAAGAAAAGGTCTGGGGCGAAAGGCAGATCCCCCCGGGAGAAGGGGTCGAAACCTCCTGGACAGCGCGTTGACAAAAATCAGATCGTCGGGCCCAGACATCACATGTCTTGAATTGATCAATGCTGGGTCCTAGAAGCCCCGGTACCGTGGCCCGGCAAGGGCCCACGTGGCTGAAAACGACAAGCCGCCACCTCGATGCTTTTAGATGCCGGAACGTCTGGGTTTGCGCCACGGCGGTGTACCACACCCCGCTGGCGGGGACGTGCACGTGCTCGGCCTGCAGCGCTACGGCCGTGGCAAAGCTTCTCGCCTCGCTGGTCCACCCGTCGCCGAGGACGACGGGGAGCGCCGCCATGGGCAAGCCAGCCGCGACCTTCGGGGCAGACGAAGCCGTTCAAATCCGGGCGTTGCACAAGAAATCGTGACGGCCAGTTTGTCGTCGTGGGGGTGATTTCGAGGCCTTGGGACAACAAAAAACGATTCAGGATGAGAAGCAATCCCTGGGGGAAGTGGTCGAGATTCCCCTGGGCCGACGCCACGAAAAAAGTGCAACGCCAGAAGAGAAGGAAAAGGAGCACACGATAACATGAATTAAAGACCCGTGGATCTGGCGTGCGGGCCCCAAATACACGCATCGATGAGTTTTGCCGAGATGCATCACCATATGTAACACTTTACGCCCCAGCCAGGCCAATGCTGGCAAGATTCCTAACATCATAACGTGCGAGGACATGACAGAGATGCAGGGGCAACACGTCGTGACGAAGCTGGCGCTCGAGTCCGCGCTTGTGCTCGGGGACACGTTCGGCCTGAACGCATATAACGTTCAAAAGAGCGCCGCAGTCTGCGGCCCAAGGATGCACATGGGAGGGACCCGACTGTCAAACTGGACGAGCTCATTGAAAAGGAAAAGGCGATGACCGACTGGTTATATGTGCAGTGTTCAGGTTCCTGGTCGGCAAGTTCATGGTGCGAGCCACTGCTCAACACCAAAGACCTGCAGAACTGGTAAACTGAACCTGGACGGCATCTCTCGGCCGAAGAAGCACAAGAGGTTGTGCGTCTACAAACGGACAAAGCCCATGGGGGAGGGAACGGGTGTGTAGAACGGGTGGCGTAAAGAAGAATTCATTAAAGTAAAGCCGAGGAGCGCGGCTTCTAGCAACTTTTGTAACTTGATCGACGCCTGTCGCTTATATAAAGTATGTAAGTGTCAGCATATTGTAGATGGTAATGACTAAAATGTAGTTAAATTGGCAATCAATGGCATTTGACATCGCAATTCTATTATTACTGTATAGCTGCTATAAGACTATTATGTTCATCGCATACACGGGGTGACAGCTTGTGCGCAAGGCACGCAAAATTCGACCAGGGCCACCTTGCCGTCCTGAGCATGTTTGATGGTCTTGGGCCCCCAGGCCCGGCACATGCTCCCAAAAAGGCCAAAAACAACAAAAAAAACGCATTGAATTCTGCAAAATGTTGGATGTATGGGTTCGTACTAGTCTACCACCCCTCGCCCAGTCCCCCCTCTTTCATCCGACTCTTTTACCTATCTCCCCCTGCCGTCCGGCCCGAGCGACCTGCGCCCCGCGGCTCTCGCGGAGCGAATCGAAGGCCTCACGGGCGCCGTCGAAGCCAGGGGAGCCGAGCACGTCCTTCGGCGGTTCAACGCATGGGGCACAGGGCCCTGAGGGATGGGGCCCTGAAGCAAGACGAGGCCAGGACTGGGACACAATCGGACCGGGACACATCGTGGATCTCAGAGGCCCGATGGTTTTAGAGGGCGAAGTGGGCTCCGCGGGCGTTCCAGAACGCTCCAGAAGGCTTTCGAAAAGTTCGGAACGCTCCGGAGTGATTTATGACAATCCGGTGGGCCCAGGTCGAAAGTACGAGACCACTCGAACAACGTAACTCCGACATGGGGTTCCTTTCTGTCCTCAGGGGAGCATCCCTCGGGGCCGCATTTCCTAGTCGCAGGGTCCTGCACCACGCTGCTCGGGACGGCCACGACGTGGCACGCCGTCGCAGCGCGCACGGTGGCGGTGCGGAAGGCGAGCAGGCCCAGCATGCACGCCTCCCCGATCATGGCGCCACCGCAGATGCTCCCGACGACCAAGCTGGACTTGGACAGCACCTCTGCGTCGCCCCGCAGAAGCAGGATCATGAAGTCCTCGGCTGCACGTGCGAGCGGCCCTGATCAGGCAGGAGTGGCCTGCTGGTGCGCGGCTTCAGGGGGCCGCGGGGAGCGCAGATCCAAGCGACGGGGCCAGTGCCAGGTGGGCCCTGTGGGCCCGCACCAGAAGGTCACCTTGGCGAAGGGTCACTCTTGCACGCACAACCGAAAAGTCCGCTGGCTGCCCCGCCTCCACGATGTTCTGTCCGGCGGGGATGCGCTCCGCGTCGAGGGGCGTGGCGATGCTCGGGGGAGGGCCAGCTGAGACAACGGTGGCTCTCCCGCCCGATCCAGATCTGCTCAAAATCGCCCCCCTGATGCGTCGCTGGGGCCCACCCAGCTCTTCGAGGCGGATCCAGCGTTGGCGACGAGAAGAGACCAGGAGACCCCAAAAATAACAACAAGCCCAGAAAGAACGAGGCAATTTTGATTGGACGCCAAGAGCCGACGCCCTCCGGCACTTCCTCCCAGGATCGCTACTCCCCGGACCTCTCCAGGGATGCGTTCTGACCAAAATTTCACGGAGAATCCAGCCGTGGCTAGGAGGGCTCTCCAGGACAAGCTGCAGTATTGGTATCCATTGCTCCTCTAAGCGTCGTGACTCTCTGACGACGCGGACAGCCGTTGTCTCGACTGGCCCTTCTCCGAGATGCGCTCGACGGCCTCCCGGGGGAAGTCCGCGAACACCCAGCTGCTGGCGAGCGCCGGTGCCACGGTCTGCTGGAGCCAGGCCTCGTGCGCGAAAAACATATCCGTATCCACGGCCTCGCGGCCCGGGCCCCTGGGCCGCGACCCAGCGGCACAGGGCGTTTCTTCGCGGATGTCCCGTGCGAAACGGATCCGTGCGACTGCGTAGCCGCGGGATCGCGGCCAGGAATCCAGACCGCGAGGGTGTGAACATTATGCGTTCGACGCTCGTGAAGACCGCCCGGCGCTCACGGAAGTCGGCGGCCGCCGCCTGGCGGTGCTTCAGCATCGCCTCCAGGGCGTCGCGGCACGCCGGGAAGCTGTGGACCGCGGCCTCCCAGGTCCGCCGACGACGGGGGCCAGGAACAGGGGGGGTCAGCGCATCAGTCGGCGGCGCGCCGAGGGGGGCAGGGAGAGGGGGTAGGCCTTCTCAGAAGGCGGCGGGGCCTCTCAGAAGCCATCCGGCCTTCTCAGAAGCCGTCGCTGCCTTAGGAGAAGGCTTAGAAAGCTTCTCAGAAGGCTGGGGGCCTCCCGAGCTGGTGAGAAGGAAGGCCTCCTCTCTGCCAAGGTTGCTTGCGGAGAGAAGAGGAGGGGGCCGTGGAATCTGGAAGATTTGGTGTTATCGGCCATGATAAATATCCACCCCGCTATATTCCTCATCCCCCTCGTCGACGCGTCTCTGGGCATAACTCGGGCCTCCAGCGGCCGCTCGAGACGATCTGGGCAGCTCCGGAAAGCTCCCGACGAGCCGCACCTGCTGGAGAGCACCCCGATGCTGGAAAAGCGCCGAGAGCCAGCGAAAACGATTCGAAGGGCTCTAAACAGACACACACACACACACACATCCGTAGCTGTGTTGGCTCAAGGCAGTGATGCATCACCCGACGACCGCGAGTCCAAGAGGGCGTTCTGAGCGCGAAAGGTCGCGCTTTGGGACAAGTCTCGGAAGACGATCCTGACTACCGGCCAGTTCTGGCCCTCTGCCCTGTGCGCGGCGGACTGTTGCTGAGCGTTCGTCCACTCAACGTGCGATGGTGCCCCACCCAGATGCGGGAGGAGTTGCTGGCCGTAGTTGGAAAAGTGGTGGGGTCGCCCGCGCCAAGGACAGCGTGCAGCAGTTGCAGGACGAGCTGCGCGACCTGGAGGCCACGCCCGTGGCGCAGCGACAGGAGCTTCTCGACCTTCAGGGCAACCCGAAGCGCTGCGGAATGCTTTTCCTCGGATTGCTGTGCCTTGTGCTGGCCGCACGAGCTGGGCATCATTCCCGGCCATGGGCTTCCCATAGAATTCTTGCACCAACTCCTGGAGGACGGACAAGCATCAGCGCAGCTCCGCGGCAGCATCAAGGAGGTCAGGGCACAGCTCGCTGAGCTCGGCAAGAGCAGGACGGGCCCTGCCGCGCCTGGCCAGCCTGGCGCACAGGGTGGCGCTTAGCCTGGGGCGCAGCCAGCCGCGTCTCCACCTGCCCACAATTCCATTGGCATGGCCGTCGACGGGCTCTTCGACGACGACATGGAGCCGGACGAGGCCAATGAGTTCTTGCGCCAAGCGAACGTTGACTTTCATGATAATGATGAGTCAGATCTACTTTCTGCGGTCAAGCGGATCAACAGCCAATGCGCTTCAGTGCTGCAATTCCAGCAAGGCCGGTACGCTGCCAAACGGGCACGCACCACAGGCGCTGCATCGACTGCAGGGTCAGCCGCAGCCCCTGCAACTGACGCCTTGGCAGGCCCAGCCGATGCGTCTCCCGCACCTGCCGTTCGCGCTGCGCCGCCAGCCAGGAGTTGAGGCAAGCCCATCCCCGCGAAGGAATGGAAGAACGGAGGCCAAGCAAACAGAGGCGCATCATGAGGCGTGCCCAAGCGGTGGCGCCGAGCCCAATCGTGCCGCAAGCGAAGGGGAGGCCAGCAGCCTCGCCCAAACAGGAGGGCTGCCGATGCCCCCACCCAGGACACAAACGGGGCCCTCAGGGAAGGGTTGGTCGATGCCCCTGCGGCCGCGCGCAATAAAACCCCTTGGATAGGGGCGGCCGATGCTCTCGCTTGTGCAGGTGAAGCTGACCCACCTGGCTTAGCCAACGGCTCAGACCTGCAGCGCGGGGCCCTCGCGAGAGAGGCGGTCGATGCCCCCAGGCCTGGCGGCAGGAGGACCGATGCTGAGCCAAGCGACGCCATCGGAAGAGGGGCGGTCGAATCCCTTGCGCGGCAGCGCGATGCCTTGGATAGAGTGGTAGCCGAAGCCCTTGCATCCAACAGACGCAGAGCCCTGCAAAGGGGGGTCAGCGCCCCTGCGAAGGCGCAACGCGCCGTGCCCGCTGGTCCAGATGGGCCGCTACCTCGCCAGCCTTTGCATAGTGAAGGCGCGCTGCGGTCCCAGAAGTGCGAGCTTCCGCTCTGCTCGGACTACCTGAGGTGCACTGAGACGCCGGTGAAACACGTACCTGGCAGGGCTAGCCCGCCACGGCGAGTGCTGCTCAGGCTTCGGCCCAGAGAGCGCTGACCACGGCGGGCTTATCATCCCCGAGGCCCGAAAGCCCCAGCACGGAACGCAGCGGAAATGGCCAGGTGGACCAGAGTCGGATGGCTGCCGAGGCGATCGATGGCGAGCTGGCGCGCGTGAGCGGGGGAGGGGCGCCAAGGGCCCCGCGGGAAAAAAAACTGACGCCCCCGCAGCGGCACTCGCGGCGAGCCCTGGCGGCAGCAGCGACATGCTCGAGGACAACCGTTGGACGACTTGGGCAAGGAGCCCCAGGCCAACGAGCTCTTCGGCCTGCGGGAGCCGCGGGGCCAGCAGGTGGACGGATAGGCACAGACAGACAGACAGACAGACAGAGACAGACAGACAGACACACAGAGAGACAGACAGACAGACAGACAGACAGACAGATAGGCAGGCACACAAACAGACAAACAGAAAGACAAGCCGGCAGGCAGGCAGACAGACAAACTGACAGACAAACAGGCATGCAGGCAAACAGGCAGGCAGGCAGACAGGGCACGCAGGCAGGCAGACAGGCAGGCAGACACACAGACAAGCAGACAGATAGACAGACAGACAGACAGAGAGACAGACTCTCCCCAGGGCTCCCACGTTGCTGGGGCGCTCCCCAACCACGCCTCGAGGGCGCGCCCCAGCCGCGCCCGGGGGGCCAGGGCCACGGCGCGGAGGAACGCGCCGCTGCCCAGGGCCGAAAAGCGGAGGGAGCAGAGGACGGTAAGAGCGAGGCTGCTGGGCAAAAGGCCCGCCGCGCCCCGTCGCGCAGCACTGCGCCGCCAGGCAGGCCCGCCGCGCCCTGCGCTGCGCCGCCCGGCAGCGCGCGCACTGGCCAGCGGCCGTCGCGAAGTCCGCGCCGCCCCGAGCCTGCTCGCCAGCGCGTCGGCGAGGGGCCCGCACTGGCTCGCCGCCTGCGCTGCAGCTTCTGGCGCCGTTGCGGCTGGCGCCGCGGCGCCCGCAGCGCGGCGGCCTCGGGCGTTGTCGCCAGAAGCCCTCAGGCGCGCCAGCGCATGCCCGCGGCGGCGCGCGGGGCCGCCGTCTCTTGCGCCGCTGCGAGCCGCCCGCCGCTGGCGCCTCAGCAGAGGCCCGCCGAGGAGCGCAGCTGGCGCGCGAGTTCGCTCTGCAGCCCGCAGCTGAGCACACGGCGGGCGCGGGCCAGCTCGCGCTGCTAGTCCTGCTCGTCCTGCCTGTTCACTTCGGCCTTGAGCCAGAGGCGGGCCTCTGCGCCCAGTCTCCCTCCGTTCTCCAGGACGAGGGGGGCTGGGCGTTCGCCTGGGTAACGCGAGTGTGCTGGCCTCGCCATCCCGGCGAGCTGCCAAGCGGACTTCGGCCTGTGTTCCCGCGGCCGGGTGCCGGACCGTGACGTCGAGCCAGCGCCGCCCGTCGTCTTCCTGGCACTCTAGGTCGAGCGCCGCGCGCCCCGTTACACGGCCTGGCGGCTGTCTGTCCCACTCAGGGACGCGCGGTTCGAAGAGAGGCCGTTCGTGCCGCCACCTTCGCAGCAGTCCTCCAAGCTGGCGCGCGAGCCGCGCGTGACTGCGCACGGCCCCGCCGCCGTTCTGGCAAGTGGCACCGCGATGGCCTCGGCTGTCCAGGGGGCGTCCGCAGGGCTGCCCGTTCGCGCTGCGCAGGCAGCAGGTCGCCACCGCCCCCGCGAGCTCGCCGCGGCTGCAGGCGGGCCGCCCGAGGCGCAGCCGGCTGCGCGCTGCGGTTTCCCAGCGGGCGTCCTCCAGCGAGCAGGGCGCACCCGTGGGGTAGTTGAGGAAGGCCCCAGCCCCCGGCCCCGCCTGTCCACGTAGTTCAGCTTGCTGTGGGAGGTGCAAACGCTGCAGGAGCGCAGCGTGCTTTGTGTTTTGCACCTTTTCCACTGCCAAGCCTCGTTTCAAAGGGGTGGCCAGGGCGTTCGCTAGCGCTCCGCCGTCGGCTAGCAAGAGTCCCCGTTCGAGGACGCTCCGCGCGGCCTCCAACTTGCTCGTCATGTCTGGGGGCAAGTCAAGGCAGTCCGCCAGCGCGTTGCTGCCGAGGTCCCGCGTGACTTCGGCCGCCGCGCCTGCCCAGGAGGCCAGGAAGGCCGCGCGGCGCCGCGTCGTCGCCAGCTGCGCACCTAGCCCGCCGAGCCTCGCAGGCAGCCCCAGCAGTTCCTTTGCGTTCTCGATGAAGCCTCGCTGCAGCAGCGTCTCCCAGCAGTTCATCAGGAAGCCGTCGTAGGCGGCGGCGGCGGCGTCCGTGGCGCGCCCCAGCCCGAGCGCGCGCTGGCTTGCGGCCCCCGCGCAGGTACGCAGCAGGGCCCCCGTGGCTTGCATCGTCAGCCCCGCCTTCTGCAGGCGCTGCAAGGTGTTCCAGAGCTTGCGCAGGCAGTCAGCGGCCCGCGCGAGGTTGTGGGCCGGTGTTCCGAGGACCGCCGGGCTGTCCTCCGTGTCGCCGCGCGGCCGCAGGTGGTTGCTGAGTGCCGGGAGGGAGGCCGCGCTGCGGCGCTGCAGGAGCGGCGGCAGCACGGCGACCCCAGCAGGGGACCAAGCAGTCGTCTTCGTCGCGTTCAGGCGCAGCCCCCGCGGCGCAAAGGGCTCTCTCCAGCGCAGCCAGCGTTTCCACCGCCAGGCCAGCCTCGACGACGAGGTAGGCATCGCCGAGGTGATACAGGCGGGCGGCGGGGTCTTAGCGGCGCAGCTCGGAGTAGTAGTCGGCCGGCGCGGCGCTCTGCGCCACCGAGAAGGCTCCTGCTGAGAGCGGGCGCCCCAGGTCGAAGCCTCGGCTGCTGGGGACCTTGCGCAGAGCCACTCAGGCGTCGCGCCAGAGGTGGGAGGCTTCGCCCTGATGCCACGCGGCGAGGGCCGCCGC